GTATCACTGACTGATTCACCCCCACTTTGTGTCAAGCTTCATCATTCTCTGACTCATGGTCCCAAACACTTCCATGACCAAGTCTTTGTAAGGGAGCTTAATGCCTTTGACCCCTGCCCCTTCCACCTCCATTAGTGTGCCCTTATTTTCATTGGTGAATCTGGATATGATTTCATTGAGCAGAGATAAGAACTACTCTCTGGGTACTACTATCTTTTGGCTTTCTGATTCTAAATGAACTGTGACTTTTTGGGTTTTTTTGGAAAGCTTAATCATTTTACTTGTCAAAAGAAAGCCTGTAAGAGACTAGGTGCCTTCCTATTTGAATATCTGGCTGCTTAAATTCTCTCAAACATTGCTAACAAGCAGTATTCCTCACTCTCCCCTTCATTTCAAAGACTCATTTTTTCAAAATAAATTTTATTGATATGTTTCACTTTTATATCACCTAAATTTCCTGTTGTTATCTTTCCTATCCACCCTTCCCAGAATTTTTACAAAGAGAGAGAAAGAGGGAGAAGAAAAAAATTATCAAATCCAATAAATATATCAATACAAATCTGACAATACACGCAGTGCTGCACACCCATAGACCTCCCATATCTGCAAAAAAGTGGAGGTATCTTCTTACATGTCTACTTTGAGACCAAGTTTATTCTTCATAAATTTGCAACATGGTGGTTGTTCTTTCCACTGGTATTGTTATAGTTATTTTATAGGTTGTTTTCCTTGCTCTGATTACTTCACTTTGCATCAGTTCATGTAAATCTTTCATGTAAATCATCAAATGTATTGTTTCATACAAGCCAAAGAAATTGTATTACATGCCATATATTTTAATTTGTTCAGCATTTCCTAACTGATAAACACTTCCTTAGTTTCCTGTTTTTTGCTGTAACGAAGGCATGTGGGACACCCAGTGAAAATAAGAATCAATTAATAATAATAACAAAGATTATGCAATAATAATAAGACCAATTATATAGTGGTCACTATGTGTCAGACACTGTGCTAAGCACTTCATAATTACTATCTCATTTGATCTTCACAACAACCCTGGGAGGGAGGTTCTATCATCGTTCCCATTTTACAGATGAGGAAACTGAGGCAAACAAAAGGCATGGAGACAAGCAATGGAGTGTCCTGTGAGAGGAACCCTGAGAAGGCCACCTTAGCTGAATTGCAGAGGGAGGAAGGGAGAATAATGTTAATCAAAAAAGCAACAAATTCTTATGAAGTGCCTAGTATGTTCCAGGTGTTCAGGGAAGATGAGCACTTTTGGTGGGAGGCCTTGCCAAGCGCTTTTTAGGGCTGCTCACCCACTTTTGATGTTTACCTGCCCTCCAAGTCTCACCTATGGCTCCAAGAAGCTGTAACATGCACCACAGCCACAACCCAGTAAAACTGTCTCAGCAGATGGGCCAAACCAGGTTGAGGGTAACCAACAGGCTTTCGATCCATATTAAGCTAAGGAATGCCTACCCCAAGCATGTGAAGACTTCTCCCAAAGGAATGGGTGGATGAGAACAATTTTGTTTCAACAGCCATGAAGGTGACTGAAGCAGGCTTTATAGAGTTCTTGGTAAGATGCTGAAGATGCCAAGGCCTTCTGCATCCCAGGCCTTCTCTAGTCACCCTGACTTTCTGCTATTGGACTTCAATGACTCTGGAGGAAACAGTGAAGCTGATGCAGCTCTGCCTCACTTAACTCACTTCACTTGCGAGTCAAGACATTCCGCTCATGACGTCATTGGTTTTCTTCAAAAACTAAGAACTAACAACAAGTCTGTTCCAGGCACTATTGATTGCTGGAGGTATAAGATCTCTGTCTTCAAGGAGCTCAGAGGCTAGTGGAGGAGATGGCATGCAAACAGCTTAGTACAAACAAAATGTATATGAGATAAATTGGGTGTAATTAACAGAGGGAAGGCACTAGCATGCTTCTTGAAGAAGGTGCAATTTTAGTTAGAATTTGAAGGAGACAAGGGAAAGCAGGAGACAGAGATGAGGAACAACAGTATCTCAGGCATGTAGAAGAGCCAGTGAAAATACCTGGAGCCTGAAGATGGGAATATCTTGTAAGGAAAAAGGTCAGTGTGTTGTTGGATCGCAGAGGACATGATGTTTATGTTTCTGGAATCCTGTGCTTTGGGTATATAGTGACCAGAGAGGAGGGGGAGGGCGGTGAGAAATCTTTTGTTGCTGTTTTTCCTCATTGTAATCTTTCGATAAGTGCCATTGATTTGTGTTAATCAGGTTATCTGCTGATTAGTAAACACATTGCTAAGAATTTATGAGTGACAATTGTGAGTAATTACAGGCCCGGAGAATGCCTGGAATCACAGGTATCCATTCTTGGCAGCCCCCAGGTACCACATGAAATTTGATTTTTCTTTATTATATCCTGTTATTGTGCTCAGTTTGTTATTTTTAAATCAGCACAAAGTGAACGTTAATGATTTTCCTTGTATTGTTTCAATCGTCATCTCCGTATGCAGATGCAGATAATTTCCTCCCTGCCCACCCCATCCCTCCAACATCCTGAGATTTCATTTTTACTGACAAAATCTTTTCTTTATTTGGTTCCCATAGTACTGTGGTGTGTAAAACATGCTCTCTTCTCCCCCTCCCCATCCCACCTGTCAATTAGCTTGATCTTCTTTTTCACTATCCAAACCCAAGTTATAATATACTCCTGTCTCCTCCTCTCTCCACAACCTTACTTCTTTCCTTTCTCTAGGTCACTTACCTCAGCAAAGTAATATGGAACTGGATAGCTCTGGGCCTGTAGTCAGGAAGACCTGAATTCAGATCTGGCCTCAAACATTTACTAGCTGTGTGACTCTGAGAAAATCACATTACCTCTGCCTTCCTCAGTTTCTTCATCTGTAAAATGGTGATAATAGCAGTGCTTTCTACCCGAGTTGTTGTAAAACCAAATGAAGTAATAATTGTAAAGTACTTAGTGATGGCGTGTGGGCCCAAGCTGAGATCTTCACCCCTTGCCCCAAATGGAATCTGGCTCTATGGGCCCAGCTCCTCATCTCCCTTTGAAAGCCTTAGCCCTACCTTTTGATCTTATTCAGATGCGCCTTCGCCCCTTGCACTAAAAAGAATCTGGCTCCCATTTGTCTACAGGCCCCAGAAAACCCTTAAACTTTTAGGTTCCTTATCGACTCCCCTTATCGCCCTTTGAAAGCCCTAGCCCGACCTTTTGATCCTTTCAAACTTCTTCCTTCCAGTTCCCTTCGTTATCTATTCCCATTGTCTAGTCAAGCTTTCAGACCTTCCAGTTGGAATTCTCACCTAGACCCTTTTCCCAGCCCCCTCCTCTGGCCACCCAAAGTTACTTTAGTGTATATAAGATCCACCCTGGCCCCCATTCAAACGCTGAGACTCTCTCATACCCAAAAGGAGAAGACTTCCTCATGCCCGCTTGTCCCTACAGGTGTTACTAATGTTCAGATTCCTTAAGAGTCTGGCCTATATATCTTATCTCCAATAAGCTTTCCTCTGGCTGGAAGAAGATTTGAGTTGAATTCATTCAGGCAGGGCCATATTGTGATCTTGGGGTTCCAGCACCCAACCTCTAGACCTCATCAGTTAGTACATTACTGGTTACTTATCAGCCATTCTATGGATTTCCTAACCTCTGTTTCTTCTTAAAAACATTTCTTTCTTACAGCAGGTAAGCATTGAGTCATCACTCATTTTTTGCTTTAAAATCTTATTTCAGCTTCATGGTTAATTTACCTGTCAAACTCTGTCTTTCTATGTCTCTTTTTTTTTCCTTTGAAGAAAGAAATGAATGTCTCTGGTCATGATTTTTCCTGAAAAAAAAAAAGGGTCTTTAATACATTTTTTTTTCAGGACAGGCAATTTGGGAATCACACACAATTTCTTTCAGTTTTCACTGTTTAGCTTTCCTGCCTTTTTAACATTTCTGTTCCATATTGGGTAAGACTGTACTATTTTGGTTGGTGCCTTCTGTGATTTGTTTTTTCCTGGATACTTGTAAGCTTTTCTTCAATACCAATGCTCTGCAATTTTATGTCTATTTCTGGGCATGTAAAATTGAAGGTCATCATCAGCTTCCTGTGAATTCAGTCATCTGCCATTTGACCACTATTAAATACTTCCAGGCAAATTCCTTGTATAATTTTATGATACATGGTATTCAGACCTATTTCTTCTTATTTTTCTGGGAAACCAATAATTCTCACACTGTTTCAATCAGCTCTGTCTTGTAGCTTGGTTGCTTTGTTTTGTGAGAAGCTTAGGCCTTCTTGAAGTCCTTTCATTTTTAAATTTTATTTTGTAACTTGTTCTGCTGTCTCTGCATTTTTGCTCTCCTTTAGGTTGTTTATTATTATTATCATTACTTATACCTATTAGCATCATCAGCATCAGCATCAGAGGGGTGATGGATGAGATTTTCAGAATGAGACAAACATTTTCAGATATGACCAATGTTTAGATTTGCTTTACTTGACTGTTCATTTTTTGGGAATGGGAGGATTAAGGGGGAAAGAATTGGAAAGAATGAAGGGAGTCTTGTGAAAATGATTCAGATAAAAAGAAGAAAAGGAACATCAATGAAATGCCTTTTTTTTAAAAATGCTCAGGAGAGAATAGAAGGAAATTTAAACAGGAAGAACCTTATTGAAAGTAATCTGTTAAATTTGTTACATACTTTGAAAAAGAATTCCTTATTATGCAGATTCGTGATTTTACATGCAAACCTCTTCTTCTGTTCTTTGTATGTGGAAACATATGTATTTGCTAATGCTTGTCAAGTTCATAATACAAAATCATAATTAAAATCTTGAAAAAAATAAGATATCCAGAACTACTGGGAAAAAAAAAAGGAAAAAAAGAAAGGTAGATAAAAATAGAACTGAATAGGAGGAAGAAAATAAACACTTGCCCCATGCCACACCCCTTTTGTTTTTCTACTTAACGCATCTTGTCCCTTCTGGGGAAAGCTATTTTCTGTGAGGTTGTGATCAGTTTGCCCAGCAATGCTTCTGCCTTTCTTTTGTTTCTTACCCTCCTTCATTTCATGGAATTCTTCATCCTTTTAGGCTCCTTAATATCCTGCAGGGACCAGCTTTTATTTACTTCTTGTAAATAAACTAAAATTAGCCTGAAAGGACATGAAGTTTTTATTTCTTCAGAAAAGTTGAGGGGGAAAATTTAACATCCACTGTCACTGAGGGTAAATGAGGTTTATGAATCAGAGGGCAAAGTCTCATGAGTTATTCTGATTAGGTGGAACACCTGGTAGTTTCATTCCTTGCAAGACTTTAAGCCATCTCACAGCTTTCCATTAAAGGTAAGGAACCTTTCACTAAATTTCTATTATAATGAAGACTTAAAATCTGGGAGTTGGAACTGAGTAGAACTGATTTCATTTGTTTTGGATATGACATGCTTTTCTTATCATAGGAAGAGTTGGAAAAAGTAGTTACCTTCTGACATACTACTTGGGTGTTCAATATTGTATGTAAGGTAAATATAATTAAAGTTGGAGAAATTCTGAGAGAGAGAACTATTCCTTTAATCTGAATAACAGTTTTTTCTTTTGTTAATAACTTTTAGAGTTTGCAAAGGGAAAAGATATATTGTGAAATCTTATATCCAAGGTGACAAGTATTTTGGTGTTGATAGATTATATTATGATAGATATATTATAAATAATTAAAAATAATATTTTTAAAGGTTCCTATAAGGTCAATGAATAAAGCAACAAAACAACGTTACTTTGCTCAGTTGTATTTGGGTTGATACAAAGATATATATGTGTATGTATATTAAATATTTGCAAATATATAATATATGTTTATGTATATATACCTCCTCCTGGATCACTGCCTTGTCATAGTGGAGAGGCTTGTCTAGCTCAATGAAACTGTGAACTATTCCATTCAGGGATACCCAAGATGAACAGATTATAGCAGAGAGTTCTGGCAAAAGATGATCCTCTGGAGAAAGAAATGGCAAACCATTCTGGTATCTTGGCCCAATAAATCCCATGGACAGTATTAAAATGATGAGATGACATTAGAAGATAAGCCCCTATACTTTGGAAGATAGTGGAGGATAGAAAGGCCTGACATACTATGATCCATGGGGTCATGAAGAGCCAGACATGACTGAACAACAACAACATATATTTACACACATACGTGTATACATTATTCATAATATATGTGCATATGAATATATATGTGTATGTACAAACACTGTCAGGTGACATATACATGTGTGTGTGTGTGTGTGTGTGTGTGTGTGTGTGTGTGGTATGTGTGTGTGGGTGTGGATAGGTGCGTGTCCCAGTATCTACTCTGGCCCTTACTTCCTGAAGTCTGGTTATGTTACATTCTACCCCACTCTCATGGTTCTCTAATATCTTTAATTGGCCTTGGGGGTGTCTAGTCTTTGCCACTGGCTCAAGTTCATATCAGTTATGCTCCCCATATTTTAAGGGGTCCCCTCTACCAGCGTTCTAATTAACCACTTAACAATCACTTTAGCTTTTATAAAGGAATATTTAGTTCAAAAGCATAGCAAGAACAAATATACAAGCATGCTCCCCATAACACCTAGGAGACATAATCCCTCCCCTTGCACTTATTTTCTTAGACTCTAGGAAGGAAAGGGGAGAGAGATTAGGTTCGTAGAATAATTCAGTTTCTATGTAACACAGTCCCACTAAATCTCAAGTCCAAAGACCCACTGAACTCTCATCTCAGAACTCCGGTTTCTTAGGGCTTCCCTGCTGAGCTGGTGGCAACATCTGGCCTGGGTCTGCATGTAGAACAGGAAAGTAAAAATGAAACAGACCAAAAACCCTAATTCTGGCTTTCTGAGCCACAGCACCTAAGGGGGAGAAGAGGAAGGTGACCCTTCCCCACTTTAGTTCTATACACTGTCTTTTGCCTAATTTTGTATCCCTAGTGCTTAGCACAGTGCCTGGTACATAGTAGATCTTTAAGAAATGTTTATTGATTGGCTGATAGACACCAGGAAGAACTGATTTCAAGTCCCATTGATGACATTGTTGTCGTTTGCCCTTCATTCTCAAAGAGCACCACGACATCAGAAAACTGATGTCATGACTTGAAAGTGAATTGGATTTAAGTGTCACTAGCCTCACTTTCTCCTGCAGAGACATGTTGGTCCAGTGGCAGGACATAGATCAGGGTGACTGGAGATGGCCCTGAATGCAGTGGTAAACCTTGGCTTTTCCAGGTCTCAGTTTGCCTCAGGCAATACCCATTCGGTGGTTAAGGCTTAGCCCATCTTTGACACATACTGACTCTATGGGCAAAACATTTAATCTCCTTTTGTTCCAGGCAACTATCTGAGATTATCATTTGCAAACAAAGTTCTGACTTGGATTAATAGAAGGAGCTTAGAGTTCCACATAACTTTGAAATCATAAGTCCAGACTTTGTCCTTATGCATATCATATGCCAAATAGATCTGATATAGCTGGTTAGGAATCTTGCTTTTGGTTTCAGTGAAAGCCGACTCCCTTGCTGTTTCCAAGGCCATTCCCAAAAGGGGCAGTTTTGGTCTCCATAGTACAAAATTAATTCCTTATGGGGAAGAGAGAGAAAAGTCTCCCGTTATTAAATTGTGAGTTCCTTGAGGGCAGGAATCATATCTGGACCTAAATGTTACAAAGGAAAATAAATATGCATAAAAAGAGCATACTTTCTACAGCATGTATATAATTCTCACTATTCAATGCTATTAGTTTCTTTTCTCCCATCTTTTAATTCTTTTCTTAAAATCACAGATTTAGAGGTGAAAGTTCCTTTAGAGACCATGTACTTCAACTTCCTCACTTTGCAGATGGGGAAACTGAGATCCAGAGAGATGTAAGTGATATGCCCAGAGATATAGTATATACCTACAGATATAGAGATAGTATCAGATGCAGTATTTGAATCCACACCCTCTTTCTTTGATCTCTTTATTTTTGTTCTTCGAAGTTCTTTGTGGGTCATATTTTGAAGCCAGCTCATATGTGCCATCCAGCATTTTTCTGTGTGATATTCTATCATATTTGCTGCTGCTGTTCTGGTATGTGCTTAAGTACTTGCTCACTTTCCTATTTTGTCACCAGAGTGACGTCAACTATGTAATCAATAACTTAACCTATATTGCTGTCCCTTTGCCATCTTTTTTTATTCTGCTTCTCGAATTTGAAATGATATTTTTTACAAGAAATTTTGCATATGCAGGAAGGGGTACACATAGGAGAACAGTCTTATCTCATTCCTCAACACTTTAATTTTTTCTGCACCTACTCAATGAGCTTGATTCAGTCAGGGTTCAAAAAACATTTATTGAACATCTACCATGCATGCAATATTTTGGTAGGGCCTATGAGTAGGGGAATACAAAAATGAATAAAACACAATCTTTGCTGACAAGAGCTTAGAATCAAGTAGGGAGCTTCCTCATATTTCAGCAGTTCCTGGCACACTGCATCCTGGCATAGCCTTGGCTTTGTTTTGGATAAATAATGACTTTTCCTTTTTCCATAATAACATTCCCAACCTACTCCCTTTGGGATGTTCCACAATTTCTCCTGAGTTAAAATAGTAATTTATTTCCCATGCAATGTGATACATACTGCTATTAATAGTTGGCATTTTTGTAAAACTTTAATGTTTGCAAAGCATTTTATGTATATTAATTCATATGATCTTCACAACAACCCTGTGAGTTAGGTGGTATTATTTTATATTTGAGGAAACTGAGGTAAACAGAATTAAGTGACTTGCCCAACATCGCTTGCACTTACTGCTAATAAGTGACTGAAGCAAGATTTGAACTCATGTCTCCCTAATTTTGAATGCTATGCCCCTTTTATTGCTCCATCTAGCTTCTTTGTGTCTTGTCTTTGTTGCAAAGACAACAAAGACAGTGAGAGCCCTCACTGGGAATTTTTGGGAGAAGCCACCCAAATGCTACCATGTGGGCGGGGGCAGAGGGGAGGCAGAGACCCTAAGTCACTCACCAGAAAGCCACTGCCCAGCTACCCATTAGGTAGTTTCTTACTGAAAGTAATAAAACTTTGCACCAAGTTATCAAGAATAATTAATTGTTTCTTCACACTTGCTATCCAAGAATAATGGATTATTGGGGGTTGGGGCAAAAGTGGTGACCTTGATTACAAATGAATGCTTCGGGGAAGTAGAATGGAGGAGGACTTAAAACTGCCACACACCCCTCCATAATGATGATGATGACAATAATACTAGTGCTTACTATGTGCCAGGCACCATGCTAAATACTTTATAATCATTATCTCGTCTAATCCTCATAACAGCCGTGGGAGATATGTGCTATCATTACCCCATTTTGCAGATGAAGAAACTGTCCAGGGTCACACAGTACATGTCTGAGGACTGATTTGGACTCAGGTCTTAATGACTCCAGGCCCCAGTACTCTATCCATTGACAAAAAAAATCTTCAAAAATATCATGTTAGTACTAGAAGGATCCAACTCCTTGATTTTACTGATTTTTTTTAAATTTGATTTTGCTTCCCAGAAAAGAGAAGTGACTTACTTCCCCAAGGTCCCAGAGGAAGTCTGATTCCTCTCTTACTAAGATTGAGGCTGAGCAGGTGTGGAGATAAAATGTGCACTGAAATGCCGTAGACTTAGAGTGCCAGAACAGAAAGGGACCTTAGAGACCATTTTGTCCACCCCATTCATTTTACAGTGGAGGAAATCAAGGCCCATGGTTATGGCAGGAATTAGAACCTGGTTATTCTAAATGCCATACCAGAATTCTTCAGCCAAGGTCATTATCCATAATGGGTCATTAGCTGCAGCTTATGTTCCTTTCATAGCATTATCAAGTATTTCTACTATATCCCTGAGGAACTAAAATGAAAAGAAATACATAACACTTCTAACAAATAAACATAATCAAACCAAACAAATTGGCCACATCCAAAAAATAAGCTACTCATCTTGCATAGTAATCCATCACCCCTGACCTTTGGATTCATTGTTGATCATTGTGTTGATCAAGAGTTCTTTTATCTTACAGAATTATTCGTTTATGAAAATATTGATGTTGCAATATAAATTATCCTTCTGGTTCTGCTCATTTCATTCTGTGATAGTTGATACAAATCTTCCCAGTTTTTGCTAAAATTTTCTCTTTCTTCCATTTTTATAGCACTATCCTATTCCTATCTCATTTCTTACCTAGCCTTAATTTGAATGGGTGTTGCCTCAGAGAACCTGAAACCTGCCTTAGCTTACATTGCATCTGGAGTCATCTCCAGTTGTCCTGACCTGT